TTTTTTTTTTTTCTCTTGGCCGCACCAAGCATGTGGGATCTTAGATCCCCAACCAGGGATCAAACCCGTTCCCCCTGCATTGGGAGAACAGAGTCTTAACCACTGGACCACCAAGGAAGTCTGCTCTTTTTTTTTTTTAATTATATATTTTTAGTTTGAAAATAATCTCAAACCTAAAGAAAAGTTGCAAATACAGTGCAAATAATTTTTTTTCTTGCATCATTTGTGGGAAAATTGCTGACGGGATACCACATCACCTCAAATACTTTGGTGGGAATTTCCTACAATCCAGGACATTTTCATACTTAAGCACAATACAACCCTCAATATCAGGAAGTTAACCTTGATATATTTCTACCATTTAATCCTCAGACTGCATTCAAATTCCACCAATTGTCCCAATAATGTCCTTCATAGCATTATAGGACATACTGGTTCTGGACTTGGATCCAGTCCAGAATCAAGACCAGAATTAGGCATTGTATTTAGTTGTAGTTCTTTAGTTTCTTTCAATCTGGAATTGTTTCTCAGTCTTTCCTTGGCTTCAGAACCTTGACACTTTTGAAGATTACACTTACTCTGTAGAATATTTCTAAATTTGTGTTTATCTGGTGTTTCCTCATGATTTTACATTCAGGTGATTCATCTTTGCAGGAATAGAGATACTGAGTTTCTCACTCCATTCATTCAGGTAGCAGTTGATTTCATTTTGTCCCATTACTGGAGATGTTAACCTTTCTCACTTGATTAATCTTGAATCTGCAAACCTTCTCCACTATGAGGTTAATTGTTTTCCCCTTGAAATTAATAAGTATTTTGTGGGGAAGTACTTTGGAACTATGTAACTATCCCATTCTTCTTCATCAAATTTTTAATTTATTCATTTATTTATTTACATCAGTATGGATTCTTGTTTTATCCAATAAATCATTGCTATGGACTGAATGCTTGTATCCCCACCTCCAAATTCATATGCTGAAGGTTTAACCCTCAATGTAAGGTATTTGGAGATGGGATCTTTGGGAGGTAATTAGGGTTCAATTAGGTCATGAGGGTGGGGACCTCATGATGGGATTAGTGACCTGATAAGAAGAGGAAGAGAGGAAGATCTTGCTCTCTCCCTCTCTATACATAAGCACAGAGAAAACGCCATGTGAGCACACAGTGAGAAAGTGGCTGTCTGCAAGCCAGGAAGAGGGCCTCACCAGGAACCAACCCTGCTGGCACCTTGATCTTGTACTTCCAATCTCCAAAACTGTGAGAAAATAAGTTTCAATTGTTTTAGCCACCCAGTGTATGGTATTGTGTTATGGCAGCCTGAGCTGATTAAGATAGTCATTATTAATGGGCCAGTGGGAGCCCATTCATTCTGGCTCCTGTGACCTTTTGGGTTATCTTCATCATTCTTTCAGCTTTCTTTGCTTTCTGACATAAGATATTCCAGGTTCATCTTGTACTTTCCCTGGTCCAGGCCTAGAATCAGCCACTTCTCCAAAGAGTCTTGGTTCTATTAGTGGAACATGGTATTTAGAAGCCAATATCTGGGCCCTAGACGTGCTCATTGCTACTGGCATGTCACTCCCAGGCACGAGTGTTTGTGCACACACACACACACACACATTTGTAACTATATTTATTTCTCTATTAAGCTATATATTTAGAAATCCAATAGTTCACACTAATCTCTACAATTCCAATTCAATATGACTGGGTCCCTTTGGTTTTCTCCCTTTCATTATTTGTAACTCTCTTCTTCAATAGTGACCTGTCACCCATTACCTTTAATATGTTTACTTATTTGATCAACCCTTCTATGTAATCAAATTCTCATTGCCACTCCCTTCCAGGCACAGATCCTTCTTCAATCCATCTTTGTTCAAATGCCCCATTGCATGCCCTATTTGCTCTACTCAAGCTCTAACAGGGAATTCCCTGGTGGTCCAGTGGTTAGGATTCTGCACCTTCACTGCTGAGGGTGCGGATTCGCTCCCTCGTCAGGGAACTAGGATCCCACAAGCCACGTGGCTCGGCCAAAAAGTTTAAAAAAAAGAAAGAAAGAAAGAAAGAAAGCTCTGACACCTCACACCCAACCTTCTCCCACTTGGGTTTCTCCTTAGCCCACTTAGGCCCCAACAGCCCATGCCAGCTGCCCACCTTACCTGACTTGGTCTCTGACACGCTGCACTGGACATATTCCACCCACCACCACCACGTGGATGCTCTCCTCACTTTGCTCAGGCACCTATGCTAGGCCTTTCTCCTCCAGGGTGTCCTCATCACCCTGCTCTGACTCTGACACACCACACCAGGCTGCCCTGTGCATAGCTGCCCTCCTTGCCCTGTTCAGGCTCCAGCTCCCAGACTGCCCATCTGCATGGATGTCTTCCTCACCTTTCTTGGCCCCAATACCCAGCACCAGGCCTTGTCCACATGTGAACTCCTTTCTCCCCTTACTTGGGCTCTTACACTTCAGGATGAGGCACCCGTGTGTGTGGGGACCCTTCTCTCTCCACACAGGCTCTACCTCCCCACACTGGGGCTTCCCTTGTGTGGACACTCTCTTCACCTAGTTGGGCTCCGATATCCCACACCAGGCCACCCCTCCACATGGATGCCTGTCTTGCTCTGTCCCACCTAATGGTTTTAGGACTGACAAGAAGAGAAGGGAATGAAGATGAGGAAGAAGAATGCTGCTCTATTCTTTATTGTTCCAAAGCACTTATCACTTTTGTATTAGTCTGCTAGTTTCTGCCATTAGTTTCACAATAACAAAATACCACAGACTGGGTGGCTTAAACAACAGAAATGTATTTCCTCACAGTTCTGGTGGCTGGGAGGTCCAACATCAAGGTGCCAGGAAAGCAGGTTTCTGGTGAGGCCTCTCTTCCTGGCTTGCAGATGGTTGCAGTAAGACTGTGTCCTCAGACAGTCTTTTCTCTGTGCAGCACAGAGAGAGAGAGAGAGAGAGCTCTCTGGTGTTTCCCCCTCTTCTTATGAGGACACCAGTCTTAACGGATTAGGGCCCCATCCTCATGACCTCATTTAACCCTAATTACCTCCTTAAAGGCCCTGTCTCCTGATATAGTCATACTGGGGGTTAGGGCTTCAACACATGAATCTGAGGGACACAATTCCGTCCATAACACCTTTCTAACAGGCTTTCTACGTTGCTGGTTTACTATGTTTACTGTTCATCACATCTTCCTCTCCAGCCCTGCATGTCAGCATTTAAAGGTGCTCCTCACCTGCAGGATCTTGCCTCTGGCTCACGGTGGCAGCCCCCAAACCTGGAAGGGCAGCTGGAGGAACTCCTACATATGGGCACAGAGACACGTGTGTCTGAGGAAGCTCACGTGGGGAGCCTCCCTCCCACTCTCCTCCACCCGTCAGACCTCGGGCAGGGAAAATCAGAATTGCTGGGACCAGGTACAAACAGTTTATTTTTCTGTAAAGAGCAAAGTACAGAGAGGTGGGGGAGGGCAGCCGGGCCTGGAGGAGCAGCAGTGGGCAGGCCCCATGCCCTGGCTGAGGCCAGAGGAGGCCCTGGAAGCTGCCCCAGGAGTAAACAGGTACTGGAGGTGCAGCCGGTCAGGGCGGCCTTCAGCGTGAGGCTAGAGAAGGAGCAGGGGAGGCGAGGCAGAAGCTCATGACCTGATGGGGTCACACAAAGCCAGGCTTCATGGATGAGCGGTGGCAGTTGGGGCAGCTCCGCGTCCCGTTGTTCTGCAGGCACCTTGGGAAGCAAAGGGCCCTGTCCACTCAGTGGGCCTGTCCTCCCATCCTGGGCCTGGCCCTCTCTCCTCCCCCTTCTTCTGCAGGTGCAGGAGGTATCCACAGCGCCCCCCCCCCACCCCAGGCTCCTGCCAGCAGCCCTGCTGGCCCCTCGCACTCTGCCTTGGGGATGCCTCCAGGGCAGAGCCTGGGCTGGGAGTCAGGAGGTTGTGATGGGGGCAGCTCTGGCCCTGGGCATCTAAATCCCATGACCTTTGAGATGCCTCTCTGGCCCTCTTTGGGGAGAATAATAGAACATCCACCTCATAGGCTACTGGGAGGATTCAGTGAGTTAATAGGAAACGCTTGGAACGGGCATGGGATGCCGAAAGCACTGTGTAAGTCTTTGCTGTTCGTATCACTATTGTGACTAGGCCCCAGGGAGGCCCCGAATGCCTCGTGCCCACCGGCGGGGCACTCACCTGAGGTGGAAGATGTGGGAGCAGGGCAGAGCCTGCAGCCGGCTATTCTTCTCGCCTATGGACTCGCCGCACAGGCCGCAGTAGAGCTCTGTCTCCTCCACGCACTCGTGGAAGCGCACGACGTGGGCGCGCAGCTCCCGCTGCAGACCTCTGCTGCGGTAGATGCTCTCGCTCAGGCAGTGAAGCTTGAGCTGGCTCAGCTGGGGCCGGTGCGGCCAGGAGAGCGGGACGTGGGGATGAGACAAGTCAGTGCCAGTGAGCAGCTGCCCTGCTTCCCTCCTTGCCCAGCCCAAGAAGCTCTCCCCACAGGGCCGCCAGGTGGTCAGTACACAGGGCTCCTGTCCTGGCTGCATTCCTGCCTTGCTGGTGGGCCTAGGAAAAACGTCCTGCCCTCTCTGGGCCTTGGTTTCCCCTCACGCAGAAAGGAGGTAGGTGAGATGGGTGATCCTTACTCCTAGAACCCGCTGGGGATTCCATGTTTTTGAAGGATTTTATTGACCAAACCTGCTGCACTGACCTCATAATAATTAATTTTCTTTCCTGTTTTTGTTAATTAAATACACGCAGCAGCTCATCAGCACTTCTGAAGAGCCCGAGAGATCTGAGTAAACCGGAGCAGGCATCATCCAGCCAAGGCACATATATTTAGCATGTTAATTGGACTGTGCACCTGATCCCTGAGAAATGCACATCTTCTAGAAGACTTTGAGAAACACTGAGGTTATTTTCAACATTTAAAGGTTTGGATATGATTATCAAATTTGGAGGGGCCACATATACTATGAAAGGAACACGGGCTTTGGAGTTAGCACATCTCTGAGCCTCACTTTCCTCATCTGTAAAATGGGGCTTGCTGTACCCACCTTGCAGGGAGCCACTGAGGCCTGGAACCGATACCTAGAAGAGCCCCGTGATGCCCACCTCTGTATGAGTGGAGGCCACTGTTAGGAGTTTTAATGACCATCAAGAAACCTCTGAGGAATTCTGATATCCCCTGAGCTATGGAATTCTTGCCCTGCCCTCCGAAGTGCTCTCTGGGTGGAAGAGAAACAGCCAGGGTCTGGGGATGATGGGGGCGGCTCCTGGAGATCAGGAGAGGCTCAGTGCATGAGCAGGCTCAGGGGGGCCTCCCCACGCACCCAAGATCCCACCTTGGGCTCTTGACTCCAGACCCAGCAGACGGACTCAGCTCTGACCTTGTTCCCCACCTCCTCGGCCAGGTCCTGGGCTCTCTCGATGGCCTCCAGAGCCTGGAAGATGAGCACAGGCCAGGGCTGCAGGCAGAGCTGTCCGACAGAGGCCTTAGCTCACAGGGAAGGAAGGGGTAGGGAGGGGTGGGTCTGGGGAGGGCAGCACCGGTGGGCAGCTGCCCTGTGTGTGAAGGTAAGAGGAAAAGGCTGGGGTACAGTCACCAGAGCTGCCTCAGTTTACTCAGATATAGAATGGGAAGAACATTCCTATTTCACGAGGTGTCGTGAAATCATAGGAGGCAGTTAAAGTGTCCTGAGTGCAAACCCCAGGCCTAGCCCTTTACTAGCTGTTGGACTGGGCAAGTCATGGACCTTCTCTGAGCCTGGAAAATGATCTGGAATCCCCTGGCCTCATGGGACTGGGGTGAGGCTGATGTTAGACAAAGTGTCTGAAAGAGTCCAGCCCAGAACCAGACCCACACATTGTTGGTTGACCTACTGGCCTCAAGTGGGAGCACTGGGGAGAGCTGGGAGCTGCAGGAAAGGGGTCCACCTCACCTTGTCCAGCGCCTTCCTGGCCACCCAGCACTTGGCCACACCCAGCAGCACCTGTACCTGCCCCAGGCGGTTTCCAATCTCGGTCATGATGCTCATGGCAGAGTCGTACCTAGGGAAGGCTGTCTGCACAGCCAGGTCAGGGGTGGAGTCAGGCCAGGCCAGGCTCGCACCACCTCCCCCTGCATCCCGGTGACCTCACCTCCAGGTCCCCACGGCTCCGGTGGATGTCAGCAAAGCAGAGCAGGCAGAGTGCCTGCAGTGGCCGGTCCCCATGCTGCAGTGCAATCTTCATAGACTCCTGTGACAGAGGCCGGTCACTCAGACCTGCTTGTCTGCCCCCCACCACTGGGGTGCCTTCACCCATTGGGCCCCTCTGATGGGCAGTCCAGGGTCACCAACATCCTCAGAGCCCAATACACCTTTCACGGTGCTGAGGCCCATGCACTGAACCACTGAGGTCTGACAGCACTGGAAACTGAGGCTCTGAGAAGAGAAGTGACTTGACCAAGGTCACCAGGTTATTAAGTGGCAAAGTTGGGATTCGAACCCAGATCAGTGGAACTCCAGAGACTGGCTCTCTTCCTACTTGAAGTGCCCCATAAGGGCACTTTTTTTGGCAGGGGTTGGGGGGCAGAAGGAAGTGCTCTCCCCTGAAAACAGACTAGAAGGGAATGAGGTTTGGGGCAGGGGGACTGGGGAGCAAACACATCCTTCAGGGGCTCAGCTGTAGAGAGGAGGGGCCAGGGGCAAGGCTTGGGGGCCTCAGTGGGCTGAGTTGGCAGGAAGAGGCACTGGGCCCAGACCCTGCCTACACTACCACCCTCTAACTGCCCCCATTCCCTGCTGCCCCACCTCACAGCACTCCATGGCACTGCCCAGGTGGCCCAGCAGGCGATACGCCACAGCCATGTGGTACTGGCTCATGGCCCGGTACTTGAGGCTCCAGCCTTTGCCATAGTCGTTGACGAGCTCTGCAGCCTTGCAGGGGAAGAACAGGGCTTTCTCGTAGTCCTGCAGGGGACACAGGGAGGGGGTGGGCTGGGAGGGGGCACACTGAATGGCAGGAGCTGCCCCTAAGTGGAACGCTCCACCGCGTGTTCATTCATTCATGCATTCATTCTGGTGTCCAGGGAAAGAGTGATCCAGACAGAGGGAACAGCCAGTGCACAGGTGTGGGCTCCATGAACACAGGGGTTTTCATCTGGTTTGCCGATGTATGGCAAGAGCCTAGCACAGTTCCTGGCACTTAGCCTAAAGTGTTTATTGAATGAATGAATGAATGAACGAATGAATGAGAAGGAAGAAAATACAGTTGGCTTCTCCTCTCACCCAGTCCCAGTTGGGCCCCTCGGCTTCAGAGACACACAGAAGGGTGGTGGTGGGGATATCAGAGCCCACTCCAACCCCACTGGAGTTTGCCCCCTGGCACCCAGTCATCACTGAATGTTCGGTGACTGCCAGCACAGTCAGCTCAAAAAACATTGGGACAGACTCACTGAGGCAAAGAAATCATCCTCTCACCTTTCTTTCTCCTCAGAGTTCCAAATGTCTTCTCAACCTGTCCATTATTAGCACATGAGCTCACCTTATGCATGCACCATTAAGAAAACAGAAGAGGGACTTCCCTGGTGGCGCAGTGGTTAAGAATCCGCCTGCCAATGCAGGGGCCCTGGTCCAGGAAGATCCCACATGTCGCAGAGCAACTAAGCCCGTGCACCACAACTACTGAGCCTGCCCTCCAGAGCCTGCGAGCCACAACTACTGAGCCCGCATGCCACAACTACTTAGCCTGTGCGCCACAACTACTGAAGCCTGCGCGCCTAGAGCCCATGCTCCACAACAGGAGAAGCCACCGCAATGAGAAGCCCGTGCACCTCAGCGAAGAGTAGCCCCCGCTCGCTGTAACTAGAGAAAGCCCGCGCACAGCAACAAAGACCCAACGCAGCCAAAAATAAACAAATAAATAACTTAACTATTTTTAAAAAAAGAGAAGAAAATCAGAGAGGAGCTCCCTTATCCACCTTATCCGTCAAACCCACCAGATCTGTTCCCACACTGCCTCCTTTCCTGCTACTCCCTGCTCCTATCAAATTAAATATGACCCCCTCCATGTGGGCTCTGGAACCCCCTCCCCAGTCTCTTTCTACTGAATCATTCCTATCAACGTAAAATCACAGCCTGGCATTTCTTATCTCATTTGAAAAACAAAACAAAACAAAAAAATCAAATAACCTTCTTCGACCTCATGTCCCGTTTAGCTACAGCCCCACTTCTCTGTTCTTCTTTGTAGAAAACCTATTTGAATTTTTATTTAATATCTAACAAGTTAATATGACCAAAAGAGAACTCTCAGTAACCCCAATAAAAACCTGTTCCTAACATACTTAATTTGTACTATGTACTTTTTATTAATTAATTTATTATTTATTTATTTATTTTTGGCTGCACCGGGTCTTAGCTGTGGCACGTGGGATCCTCGTTGGGGCATGCAGACTCCCGGTTGCGGCACGCATGCGGGATCTAGCTCCCCGACCAGGGCCCGAACCTGGGGGCCCCCGCATTGGGAGCACGGAGTCTCACCTGGACCACCAGGGAAGTCCCTACTATGTACTTTTTAACTTGAAGCCATGTAAATGTTTTACAGACTGTAAAATATTAAATTTAATTTTAAAAACCCTAAAAATAGAAAATGGAAACAAATGACCTTAATGTATATCATTATATTAATATTACAATCAATTCTAATCATAAGTATATATTATAATACAATCAAGGTATATTATAATATTCTATCATAGTATATTACGATTGTTTTATAATATATATTAATATATTTTATATTATATATTGTATATATTAATATAGCCATACAGAAAAGTTATTATTTCAAAGGACCTTAAAATATATACTTGAACAGTTCAGTCACAGTGGGATATATTATAAAGACAAAAGAATGGCAAAGAAATCAAACCTCATTCGTCATTTTTTTTTTTTTTTGAGTAAGACAATATTGGTATTGTCTTTTGAAATTCTTTTATGTACTTTGTAGGATAAAGTAAATATTTAGAAACCAAGATTTTCAGTCTAAGAGAAAAGAGAATCAAGTCTGAAATAAATTAAGAAAAATCCTGAAACATTGGATTTGAATTGGAAATATCAGTATAAAGTCCAGTTGTCCTCACAACAGAAGAGATTTAGTAGCAACAACAACCCAGTAGCCGCGAGCATCCTGAGAGCCCACGTTTGGTCTTTAAATACCATTTCCTACTAAAAAAGGACCCGGAGGAATGGCTGGCTCCAGGTTTGGAGCAGGAAATAGAGTGGGCCCTCTGGATTCGAGGGTTCCACATCCTTGAATTCAACCAACCGACGGTTGAAACTATTGGGGGGAAAAAATCCAGAAAGTTCCGAAAAAGCAAAACTTGAATTTGCCACACACCAGTTTATATTTACATAGCATTTACATTGTATTAGGTATTATTATAAGTAATCTAGAGATGAGTTAAAGTATGGGGTGGAGGGAATGTATGTAGATTTTATGCAAATACTACACCATTTTATATAAGAGACTTGAGCACTCCCGGATTTGGGTGTCCTGGGGGATCCTGGAACCAATCCTCCGCAGATACCGAGGGACGACAGTATAGAAAACGAGTGTGGGACAGGCTATTGTGGCAGAAAACAAGAATGCTTTCTTTCAAAGACTAAATGAAGTCTCGTCAAAAGGACACAGTAGCCATACTGAAGAGAATTCCACTGACTAAAATTAAGATAATCGAGCATCAAAAGGAACAATGATTGCAACTGACTGACGAGTACTGAATATTTTTTTAAATCCATGATTTCACAACGATACTACAAAAAGAGGAAGCAAAACAAGTAAGTGTGATCATTGAAGGCAACTATCACATCAACTCATTATTCTGGAAAGTGGTAATTAAAGGAAAGGGAAAAAGTATTTATTCTGCCTTTCCTTAAGGAACTGTATTTCAGCGTAATCAACTAGCTCCAGTTAAAGAGGGAAAGTTCTCCCTTATAGAAAAATCCCAGCTAATAATTGCAGAAGGCATGATAGAACTTGGAAATCACCATTTCCTGAGAGTTGAAATGAAAGAATTGATTCAGGCAACAAACATCAATGGATGCTCAAACCATTACGGAAAATGTTGTTGCAGAACTGAATATTCACAGCCAAAGTGTCACCCCACAAGTTAACCTACTGGTCGTGAAAGGAAGACAGCACGATTGAAAACAGTGGGATCAGGTGGTCACTCCCTTAACTACCGATATGATGTGATATGAAGCACGCAGCCTCACTTGTATAGTATTCTCACCAAAAATGCGTGACCTAAATCTTACCAAGTCATTATGTAAGTTCTAGTTCATAGAGAGTCATGGAGACAAAGAAACAACTTACATGACTCCTTGAGGAAGCAATGAGACAATGAGATGGAACATTGTACAAGGCAATTAATCCGGCTTCCTCAATAAACCATGGAAAATAAAGGGAAGGGTAGGAATTCTCTATAGAAAGAGACTCGGGAGACATAATAACCACTGCAATGTGTGGTTCTTGTTTGTATTCCAATTCAAACAAGCCGAGGATAAAGGCATATTTTCAGGATAAGTAGAGAAATTTAAGAGATAATTGTTCAATATGGTGTGTGTGATAAATAGTATCGTGATTATGTAAGAAAGTGTCCTTATATCAGAAAATGGTCTTTTTTTTTTTTTTTTCAGAAATGCACACAGAATTACTTCGGGGTAAAACATCATGATGGGGCTTCCCTGGTGGCACAGTGGTTGAGAGTCTGCCTGCCGATGCAGGGGACGTGGGCTCGTGCCCTGGTCTGGGAAGATCCCACATGCCGCGGAGCGGCTGGGCCCGTGAGCCGTGGCCGCTGGGCCTGCACGTCCGGAGCCTGTGCTCCGCAATGGGAGAGGCCACAACAGTGAGAGGCCCGCGTACCACACAAAAAAAAAAAAATCATGATGTCTATAATTTTGTATCACAACACTTCAGTGAAAAATATGTAAGTCAAATATGGCAAAATATTAATAATTGTTAAATCTAAGTAGTGGGTATATGGAGATTCATTATATTATTCTGCTTTCCTGCATGGTTAATTTTCTTCATAATAAAAAAGGTTATAAAACACCCCTATCCCTCTCCAATCCTATTGCATCTCACTGAATGGCTTCCGCATACATCTGGTTGCTGAAAACAAAATCCTCAGTGTGGTCGTGGATGACTCTCACTTCCTCATACTTCCACCTCTGATCCATCAGCATTTACACTCTCCAGGATTTTTTAAGCATCTACTATGTGCCAGGCACTAACATCCCCCATGGGCCTAGATGCCTAGGGGGAAAGAGAGCAAATGCTCAGGACCAAAAGTCTGAGGTCATTGACCCCATCAGTTTCTTCTCAATCTGCCATCTCCCTTCCCCCTTACCTCTCTGACTCCACCACCGCCTACCTTCTTCTCACACACCTGCTGCAGCCATGCTGGCCTCCATCCTTCCTGGAACATACTGGGTAAGGTCCCCCAAGGGCAGAGCTGTGCTTTAACTGTTCCCTCTTTTTCATTCTTTTGCCAGATTTCTGCATGGTTCACCCTCTCATTTCTTCCAAGACATCAGACATCACCTCTACAAGGCCTTCCAACCACCCTGTTTGAAATTGCAACACCTCATCCTCAGCACTTCTAACCCCCTTTCCCTGCTCGCCTTTTTCCTAGGCACTTTCCACCATGCTGTATACTTGATTTGCTGATTGCATTTATTTGTCTCTCTCCCCCAGCTAGAATGCAAGGTTCATGAGAACCCATGGACTTGGCTGTTGTTTTCACTGTTGCACCCTAGGCCAACAGTGTCTGGGATATCATAGATGCTCAGTACATATTTGATGAATGAATCCTTACAACCACGCTGTAAAGTGGGTTTCATTCTCCTTCATTTCATAGGTTCAGAGAGGAGAGGTGACTTGCCCAAGATCACACAGCAAACACGTGGCAGTACAGGTTCACGGCCTGTCCTCACATAGGAGCTTCCCATTCCCCCAGGAAGTCAGACAGATCAAGGCTTGAATTCTGGCTCTGCCCTGCCTGGCCATGTCTTTACTTCCTGGCTGTCTTTTCCCTCCCAGGCTTTCGTCTGCCTCATCGCTACCTAAATGGGAGGGCTAAATGAGGTGATGCAACAGGGAGCGTGGCTCACGGGAGACTCTCAGCGAGCCCGAGACTCTACCACCCTCCCTGGGGGGCCGGGCCCACCTTGACCTGGGCGTAGAAGCTGCCCAGGCTGCAACAGACACGGCACTCGAGCATGGTGTCATCGTTGTTGTGGGCATAGCGCAGGGCCTTCTCGAAGCTCTCCAGGGCCTTCTGGAAGAGGCTGAGGCCCAGGAAGGCGTTGCCCATGCTCAGGCTGACCTGGCCTCCGAGCTGGGTGGCTGCCCGGGTGCCGGGCAGGCCGAGGCAGGTCTTGCAGTAGGAGATGGTCTTGTGAAACTCGCACAGCTTCTCGTTGCTGCGCGCCAGGTTCAGGTAGCTCTCCAGGAGGAAGTTGGCATCCTCCAGCTCCCGAGCCGTGTCGATCTGTACCACAGCAAACTGCCCGCCAGGGTGGCAGGCCGGGAGCGTCAGCCTGGACCCTGAGCCTGGGACCCGAGCCTCCGTCCCTCCAAGCCTCACAGCCCAAAGCCTCAGGCCCAGAGCGTCCACCCCCGGCCTCAGATGCGCTCCCTGCTCCCCAGTCCCAGAAGCCCCAGAAGCTGCAGCCCAGGAGCCTCCACCTCCCAAACCCAGACCCACAGCTTCCACCTCTCCATCCTGAGCCTAGGTCTGCAGTCTCCACCACCCACCCATCCGCAGCCTCAAACCTGGAGCCAGCGCCCCCTAGGCTCATACTCAGAACCCCAAACAGGAAGGCTGGAACCTCGACTCTGAGACCTGGCCTTCAGCTCCCCGAACCCTGAGGCTTAGAACCTCAGTCTCAGAGCTTCAGACACCAGAGTTCAAGGCCACAGGCCCAAATCCAAAGCCAAGACCCAGTGGATTCAGGGCCTCAGGCCCCAGCCACTAGCCTATGGGATACAGGGGAGCCTGAGGAGGCAGGAGGGGGGCTGGGAGGCCTGGGAGAAATCTCGCCCCGGCCCCGCCCTCCCAGCCCGGCCGCGGCGCTCCCACCTTCAGCATCTCCTTATAGCGGCCCATCTCCGAGTGGGCCGTGACCAGGCAGCCCAGCACGCGGAAACGCCCCACGAGGTCCGAGCTCTTCTCCAGCACCTTCGTCCACACCTGCAGCGCCTTCTCTGTCTGGTTAGACTGGTACAGCTGGAGCCCCTTCGCGATCTGCTGCTTCGTCTGGTCCTGCCCCATCCTCCCAGCGCCCCGAGCCCCCTCCAGAGAGACCCTGGTGGCTCCGTGCCTCTAGACACTCATGGAGGGGGCCGCAGAGCGCCAGCTGCCCACCAAGCCCTCAGAAGGAGCAGGGCCTGGATGGAGAGCAGGCGCCACCCTGCGAACAAAGCTGGTCCGTCGCTGTCCGCAGCTGTCCCTGCCAGTTGGGGCCACGTGGCCGCCAAGGAATGTCAGCCACAAGGTCACGCGGGGCCTCTGCCACACCCACCCCCGAGCTGGGAGGAAGGTGCCTGCCCCCCCAGGCATCCCCTTGGGCGTCTCTTCAGCACCTCTGACACTGGCCCTGAGCCTCCTGGCTGGGCAGGCCCTCCCCGCAGCCTTGCCAAGGAGCCGCCCCCAGGGGTGGGCTGAGAGCTGGAAGAAGCAGGGATGAGGCTGGGCACACAGGCAGCAGGGAGGCTGGGGCCTCTCCCCATCACAACCTTCCCCCCAGACCCACCGACCCCAGGCTCTGTTCCTGTGAGTCACTGGGCGCCGAGGTCCCTTACCCGTGCACGTGCCCACACCATCCCAAAGTGTCCTCACAGCCCCACCCCAGCCACAAGTCGTTCACCTCTCTGGGCCTCAGTTTCCTCATCTGTAAATTGAGGCTGCAATAGGCTAACAAGCCCTAACCCACAGGCTTGCTAGGAGCCCCACAGTGGGGTGGGTAACAGCGTGGACCCTGGAGCCAGGCTGCCAGGGTTTGAATTCTGACTCTGCCGTTTATTATCTGCATGGGCACCGTGACTTTGGGCAGGAGAATAATGGTTCCTACTTTACTGGATTTTTTTTTTTTTTTAAGATTTCTTTCTTCTCCATGTGGACCATTCTTTAAAGTCTTTATTGAATTTGTTACAATATTGCTTCTGTTTTATGTTTTGGCTTTTTGCCCACGAGCCATGTGGGACCTTAGCTCCCTGACCAGGGATCGAACCCATACCCCCTGCATTGGAAGGCGAAGTCTTAACCACTGGACTGCAGGGAAGTCCCTTTACTGGACTGCTGGAACTAAATGACTTAGTAATTGACAAGGACTTAGAACAGTGCCTGCCTGACACACAGGAAACACTATGTGACAATAAGCAAGAGGTTATCTAGAGCTGCGTCTGTATGCTCCATGGCAAACTGCCCATGAGGAACAGAAGTTGCCCTTTGAAGGTTTAAAAGATACCCAATTCCAATCCCAGTCCCAGTTTGAAAGGGTCCCTTACAATGAGTTTTAATGCCAGACACAGTGGAGAAGGGCAAAGTCTTGTATAGGGAGCAGACCAGTGAAGTACTGGGGCTCATGGGGTTGAGAGAGGCTCCTGCCATCTCCACCAGCTTGACTCACCCCATCTTTCTCTTCCCTCTCTGCAAACCAGACTCCTTCTTGCCCCAGGGCAAATTTGTCCTTTCAGAGTGGACACTGGCTTTTAGTATACAAGCATATCTCGTTTTATTGCACTTTGCAAATATTTCGTTTTTCACAAATTGAAGATTTGTGGCAAACCAGCGTCGAGCAAGTCTATCGGCACCGTTTTTCCAACAACATATGCTCGCTTCTTGTCTCTGTGTCACATTTTGGCGATTCTCTTTTGGCAATTCTCATCATATGTCAAGCTCTTTCATTATTATTATGTTTCTTATGGTGAGGTGCAATCAGTGATCTTTGATGTTACTACAATGACTCACTGAAGGCTCAGAGGATGGTTAGCATTTTTAGCAATAAAAGATTTTTTAGTTTAGGTCTGAACATTGTGTTTTTAGACATAATGCTATTGCACACTTAATAGACTACAATATAGCACAGACATAACTTTTATATGCACTGGGAAACCAAAAACTTCATGTGACTTGCTTTATTGTGATGTTCGCTTTACTGTGGTGGTCCCGGACCAAACCTGCAGTATTTTCGAGGTGTGCCTGTATTCACAAATTTGTACATTGATCAGCACAAATTTCTAATATCAGAACATTTTCATCACCCTGAAAAGAAGTCCTGTGCTCATTAGCAGTCACCCCCCATTCCTTCGTGTTATGGGGTGCTGAATTGTGCCCCCGTTCATATGTTGGTGTTGATATGTAGACCGCACCCCCCAACCTCGTAATGGGCCTTATTGGAGACACCGTCTTTTTTTTGGCTGTGCCACCTGGCTTGTGGGATTTTAGTTCCCTGACCAGGGATCGAACCCGGGCCCTCTGCAGTGAGAGCACGGAGTCCTAACCACTGGACGGCCAGGGAATCTCCTGGAGACACCATCTCTAAAAAGGTAAAATGAGGTCATTAGAGGGGGCCCTGATCCAATATGACTAGTGTCATAAGAAGAGATCAGGACATAGACACACAGAGGAGGAAAAAGAGTGTCATCAACAAGCCAAGGAGAGAGGCCTCAGAATGAAACCCACCCTTTTAACACCTTGATCTCTGACTTCCGGCCTCCAGAACTGTGAGAAAATAAGTTTCTATTGTTTAAGCCCTCCAGTCTGTCGCACAGTGTTACGGTAGCCTGAGCAAACGAATACAACCTCTGCAACCACAATCTACTTTCTATGGACTTGTCTATTCTGGACATTTCATATAAATGGAATCATACAACATATGGCCTTTTGTGACTGGCTTCTTTCACTCAGCATAATGTTTTTAAGGTTCATCTATATTGTAGCATGAATCAGAACTTCATTCCTTTTTATGGCTATATAGTATTCATTGTACTATTCATTGAATAGTATTCAATACACCATTTTGTTTATCCATTCATTAGTCGATGGACATTTGGGTTGTTTCCCTTTTTGGTTATTATGAATAAGGATGCTATAAACATTCATGTACAAGTTTTCACGTGGACACGTTTTCATATGTCTTGGGTATATACCTAGGAGTGGAATTGCTGGGTCACAGGTAACTCTGTGTTCAACTTGTGAGGAACTGCCAACCTGTTTGCCCCAGGGCCTTTGCCCCTCGTGGTCCCTACCCTGACATTCTGCCCAGTTAAGTCCTAGTTGAGGTGGATCAGCTTATTATTACACTCATAGAGAATTACATTCCATTCTGATACAAGATTTACCATATTCATTAATGAGGTTACTGGCTTAGTGCCTGTTTCCCCCACTCAGATGTGTGGGCAGGGACTTCATCTCATTCATCACTGACTATGTCTCCAGAGCAAGACCTGGCACACAGTGGCCACTCAATAAATATGTTAAATTAATGGGGAAAAAAAGGGGAGAAGTGAAAATTTAATTTTGAAATTTAAAGCAACCGCTCCAGGCTTACAGCCGATCTGCCATGTCTGCCTCGTCCTGGGGAAACTGAGTAGAGGCAGAGATGACTTCCTGTTTACTGCGAGCAAAATGGGTCCAGAGTGGGGCAATCTGGGAGTGGGGCGGGGGTGCATGCTCAGCATAGGTCGAGGGGATGGAGGAGGGGCCCTTGGGACTCGACAAGGATACCGGGACGCCCCAGGGGACGTGCTCTTGAACCGGGACCACAGGAAGCTGGGAAAGCGGGGGAGAGTCGGGGAGCCACTGACACAGGAGAGTTGGCTGGGATCTTCCTCTCAGCTGGGAAGGTGGGTCCTGGGTTGAAGTTAACCTCCAGAGGGGAAGGAAGCTGGGCACACAGGGCAAGTGCTGAAGAGCCAGCAGATTCTCTCCCATTTGTAGGCCAGATATAGTCCAGCCACGAGTTCGAGTCGAGTCTTTGACAGGAGGGAAGGGAGGCGGGCAGTTTGCCTCAGCATCCCAAAGGAATCTGGAACCACAGCCTTACGGGTACCTGGGAACGCGAATGATTGCAAAACTCAAAAACTTGACAGTTTCCTCTGCCCCAGAGTCAGCAATTTGCTGACCACTGCACACAGTTAGGTCAAGGTCATGCTCCTTTAGGGCAAGGGTGTGGTCTTTGTACCACCAGCACCTGCACAGCCCCTGGCAAAGTGTGAGGAAACCAACAGAAGTGTAACAACTAACATTTCCTAAGCTGAGCATTTCTTCCAGTTTACAGATAACTGGGAGGCACACAGAGGTAAAGCGACCTGCCCAAGAACACACTGTGACCTAGAGACAGAGCAGGGACTGGACCCAAGCAGTGTGACTCTAGTGGTCCTACTCTTAACCATGATACTGTCCCGGAAAAGAGGAGAGGGAGAAAAGTGAAGGGGAACTGGACAGCCGTCTTCAGGAATCATAGTGATTTTCATCGGACACACCCAAGCCCACTGGGAATGCTGTCCAAGGCTCTGGCCTGGGTGAGCAGAAGAAATGTATACAAAGAAGGCTAAGGAAAAGGTGAACGGAATCAGGCCTTGCTCACCGAAGCCCAGCAATGAAGGCTGACAAAAGGCCCCCAGAACCGGGAGGGCGAGTCACAAAATGAGTCTCTTCTGGGCCACTTAACCTCACAGGGCCACGGGACAGCAGGAGCCTGGGGGCTTGTTCCAAGTGCCCGCTGTGTCAGGTACCAGCTACGCGGCCTGGTACACTTTAGATTCCCGTTTTATAATCGAAAGTAGAAAATGAAGTTTGGGCCTGAAGCAGGGCTCACAATCTGGCATTCAAGGGCTGATGATTTCCACGTTGGTTGGCTACACTTGTTATCTGGGAGATTTCATATAAGAATCAGCATTTCCTGCTTCTGTTGAAGACTGGAAGCTCAGTCAATCCCCAGGCCCATGAGTCTGCATGTCAACCAGTCAAGTGGTTGGTGTCTGGTCTCAAGAGACCAAGAATGTCTCTCGTTCGCCCAGTCCCCACCTCTTGCTATTCTTGCCTTGACACTGAGCCAACTGTCACTTGTCATCTTAGATCGGCCTCCTTTCGCAGGCTTGCCTCACCTGCCTGGCCCCTGCATTTATAGCCCCTGCACAACAAATGTAACTGGAGGGGACAGTCCCAGGCCCCTTCTGCCAAGATTAGCGGGATCCTTGGGACATCTGTCCCTCTCGACAAATTCATTTTCCTAGTTGTAAATGGAGCTTTACCTTTCTGTCAAAATTTCTGTGAAAACCAAATGAGACGATAAGAACTTGCTTTGAAAACAAGATGTTGCACTAATGCCCCTCTAATGGACCTCCTGAGCCTTCCTTGAATTGGCTCTTACAGTTTATAGTAGTGAAAAATCTAGAAATAACCTGTGTCCAATAGGACAGTCGTTGAGAAACCATGAAATGCTATGTAGTCTCTAAAAGTGAA